CAAAGTCCATTGTGCTTTATATCAATGTCCTACATAAACCTCTGTTCAAAAAACAACAGTAGGAAACAGCCATTTAGACAGCTATAGTCAATGTAAAGACAGTGTGTACTCCATGCCAGCCAGGAAACATAACACATTTGTTTTTAGAGCTGCAGACTGCTCCTTATTATTCCCAAGCCCAGGGAAGTGCCTGAGAGCTCAACTACCAGAGAGCACTGGTCTGATTAAACAGAAAAACACACGCTACATATGAAGCTTAGGCAAACAGTTACGGAGCACCTGACAAGACTGTCAGGGAACGTCAAAAAAATTCCACCTGAACTGAAAAAGCTGTGGTTAAGTTACAACAGGGAGAGCCGGTAATCTCAATTATTGAGGACAACAATTAGAACTTGAAATTGTAGTTGGTTAGAATACTCATCTGCACCCCTATCCTAGGGTGAGATCACTTGAACCGAGAAATGAGACGAAAAATGTGATGCCCTAAAGTACAAGATACCTTAAGGTACTTAGCAGTGTCGCTACTCAAGCATACTGCTACTAATTTTACTGGAAGCGGCTTCAGTTTTCCTTCTGCTGTGCCAGTTTCCTTGGTCAGGTTAAAATAAACCTCAGGGGACTCATTCAAAAGACTTCACCCCAACATGGACTAAACACTAATCACCGGCTGGTGGAAGAACACAGATTGCTGAATTTCAGCTACTGTACTTAAAGAGAACAGTGGCTACAAGTTAGCCCAAGCCACAGCCTATTCTGGTTAACACTACGTGACTTCAAACAACACTGCGTCAGAGCACAGATTAGTTCCTTTGACCTTGGAAAACTGAGTATGAGAAGCAAAATTATTTACTCTTTGCCAGTAACGTATTCCCTACTTCTAAACATTTTACAGCTGAGGAATTAACAAAAAGAAGTTTCTAAAGCATGGACTATTAACCTCACTGTGTCAACCTAGTGGTAGTGCTGTCACAAAACAGGGATTCCTGCAGTTCCTGTATTAATCAATACGAACTCACTATGAAGAGTCACTGTTGTCAGTGCTAGCAGACCAAAGGGTATCAATAAAAGTAATAGGAGACTGAAAATAGTCTTTGCCAGTAAATTGTTTTTTCTTTCAAGAGCTGTGATATGCTGCACAGATAAGAAAATGAACTTCTTAAATGATTACACTGAACAGCTGAAAGGATAACAGAGAGTGAAAGGTATATTAATTTCAAACCTAAAGCATTACCTGTGCAGCGCCACAATGCTATTAAACACTGTTAGCATTCCTGAGAAAGTCCAGGCAGCTGGAAGGGAAATAAACCTGCTATTGGAATGGGACAGGTAGGCAGGTTCTTCTCAAACTCGGAACTTACACATTGCTTGACTGGGACAATCCAAAGTCCATCCAGTCTGGTATTTTTGTCTTTTAAGCCAGCCAACCCAGGTGCTCTAAAAGAGAAAAGGTGTACAAAAGCCTTTTGCAGGAAAAGCTTCATTTTGGCAGGATTTGTATGAGAACATCTGCACGGACATTGGGGAGGAAAAAAGAAAAAAAGAGAGAGAGCGAGCACGCGCGAGAGCACGCGTGCTAAAAGAAAAACAGTTGAGGAAGCCATGTCAAAAGATTTGGACAGAAACGATAACAGGCTTGGGACATCTTCCAGACTATGTTTCTTAGGAAGTCTGCTAAAGTTTACCGTGTTACAAATGTTTATTTAATGGCTCTCTTGGAGAATAAGTGCGTATTTTTTTCTAAGGAAAGTACTGCATTACCATTTAAAAATAATTGAAAATAATTGGGTATTAAAGTTTGGAAAAGCAGCAAAGAAAAAAAAAAATCACACCATCCAGCTGCTTATGCTCTCTTCAGCTTTTGTGTGCTTTTAATGCAAAGTTACAGTACAGCTAACATTGAATCAATGGACTGCTATTTGCACTGTATCAGAGAGCTGGCTGAACTTGTACTGCATTCAGCTGGCAGAATGACAAGAAAAGTTAATTATGTGTTAGCCTGCAACATATTTACTTTCGAAAGAGAGTGCGCTATCCTTCCTATTCCCATAGGATAGAGCGTTAGGACTTTCCTAGAACACTTCAGATGTGGCTACAGTTATGCTCTGAAGAGTAACTATATAAAAATACCTTGTTGGATCACTGTCATGGCTCTTAATGTCAAAATAAGCATGCACAGAATTATTCTTGATCAGCAGCTCAAAAACTTCATCAGAAGCTTAGAGATCTTTTCACACGTGACTGCCATTAATAGGAAACCTGCAAACCAAATTCTGCTCCACATCGCATTTGGGGAGTCTCATTGGTTTTACAGACTTGAAAAAGAAGAAGAAAGCTCAAAGAAAAGTTGGGAGCTGGGTGAACTCTTCCGACAGATGGTCCACACCGTTCTAGAGTACTGCAGTGATGCACTGACTATTAGCAATTCCAATCAGACTAGTAAATGTGCATTTAGAAGGATTTGTTCAGTAAGAGGGAGAAAAAAAAGTGCTAGGAGAAGATTCTACAGCTCATGTTAAAAGGTTGAGTAATATGTGAAAATCCATTTCAGTAAGAGTTTTCTAGGCGAGCACAATAAAGACATTTAAAGCAATTTTTTAATATATGGAGAAATTATTCCATTTGTTAATACTTCTTGTTGTATATATTCATGGTAACTAGCCAAATCCTATACAAAGAAACGTAGCTAGAAAGAACACTATACAGGAAGTGGAATAAGAGTATCAAAGATGACAAAAATGAAATTTCATTTCTGCTGGCTTTAATGGAGGAATGATAATTTATGCCTGATATAAAGAGCCTGCCCTGAGTGAAATTTATTCCAGATGGACAGACTACAACACAGGTGGAAAGTACTTAATAGCAGATTGTGAAAGCAAGGATGAGAGTGAGTAAGGGCTTTAAAGAAAAAGAAAAATGAAACAGAGAATTTCAAGTTCCTCATTTTCAGGAGTGTGGTGTCCACAATAAACTTCAACTTTGACCAGCAAGCACACTGTAGGGCCAGGATGGAACAAGTATAGTCAGGAGATGTGCGAAAGCCAAATAGAGGCTACCACTCCATGAACTTTCAAAACGCTCAGGATAAAAATTATGTCTATAGCTCTCCATTGAGAACTGCAGTATTCCAACAGTATCAAATGACTCCCCAGACGGAATATATAGGTGGCACAGTTGCCTTCTGTGACATACAGTGCCCCCCATCCCACCCACACTGCCATATAATGCCCTTATATTTGTTAGATAGTTTAGGAAGAAGAGTTGCTTCCTCTGAGGCTGCTCATTCCCTCTTCTCAATGGACTGGGTAAATCCCTAAAGAGCCAAGGTAGCTGTTGGGTTTTACAGCAAAAAGATGAGTTCTGGCTTTTCACTGATGCCGAGGAGGTCACGGCAGTACCTGTAAAATTTAACTTCTACCTTCATCATGAAGGAAACTCACATTTTAGCTTCTTCCATTATACCGCAATAACAGCAGATGAAAGGACTGTGCTGAATTCCTGCCTTTAAGCGTATACAAGCCAGTTCATAAAAGCGTTTAGCTGTTAATGATATTTGAGTGTGCCTCTACTCATTTAAAAATATTCTCGCGATTTCTCACTCAGTAAATGCTTAGAAATTGTGTAAAAGCAAAATGAGAACAATTCTGGTTCGCAAGGAGAAATAAAATAATATTAAAGTTAGACAACGGAAGTTATTCCAAGTCAAACTGAAGTGTTTCTGAACATCAGAGACATCTGGGAAGCATATGTACAGGAAACAGCTCAGCCTGAAAGAGCTGTATGTTACTGAAATTACAGAGGTAAGGAAACATCGTATTAACCCTGAGTTTTGAACCTTTACGTTCTGCAGTTAAATACATACTTTCAATGTGAAGATACAATGCAACTTTAACAGGATAATCAAGGTTTCACATGTTTAAAATAATTATTAATGTTTATCAGATTTCAGGAAAAGATGTTTAGTTTTGAGGTTCCAGATAACCAAAGCTGCAAAAACTGCAGACTTTTGTGTGCCACCCTCAGCAACTCCAAAGGATATAAAAGCAGATCTCTCTCGTCAAACTAACATGGTACTGACTCATGGTTCCAGTTGGACTACAGCATGGCCAGCAAAATGCAAATCATTTGAGACCATAAGTAGTTACGTACACTAACAAAATCCTTTAAAATGGACACTGCGTGCTACTAGCCCTATTGTTCATTACCGGTCCATTTAAAGATGCTTCCGATATGATTACTAGTCCTTTAAAAAATATATTTGAGTCTATATTTTTAATTCTATATTTCTATATTACAATGAAGTTACTTAAATGAGACATTCCCTTAAGATTACTTAATAAATCATGTAAACGTGATTAATAGGATAACAAAAGAAATAATAACAACTATTTTTAGACACTTCATGCAAACCTCCGCATGTTTCAATAAATCTTCTTTCATGATCAGAATATGGGAGTTGAAGATATCCTTGCTTTTAGGTGCATTTGACCTCAGAGGACTTCCTCTGATGTGGCAAAAGAGAAAATCTGTGAAATTATCTGAACCAGATATTCAGAGCTTCTGTTAAGGAAGAAACCAAAATAACTGGATTGACCAACTCATTTTTATATATGGGAAATAAAGACTGTTTGACAGTTTAAACATTTTGCCTTTTTTTTTTGGGTGGGGGGGTGGGGGGGAGTGAATTAGTCCACAATCCCCACAATATAAAGCCTTAAAAAGGATTTCAAAAATGATTAAATATTTTTAAAACCTATTTCAAGATAAAACTCAAAAGAGTCACTTGAAATTTAATAGTAATGTACCTTGATATTTTACAAATTCATTTTTCTCAATCTTCTAAACTAAGGGATTCTCAAACTATTGCTTGTGCACAGCCATAATCTGTGAAGCCATTCCTGATGCTGCAAAAACTGAAATACTTAAAATCCTACCAAAGGAAAACAGAATTAGTGGGTTTTTTTAAACGCTCATAAAATACTGCATGACAGCACCTCAAAATGGCAAAGTTAGAGAAACAATACTTTAATTCATTAATGCACTTCTCTATAAGCTCTGCCGGAATCACTGATCCAGCCCCAAAGTGATTTTGACTGTGTAACAGATCTTCCTCTAAGCTTCAGGACAGCCTAAGCCTGATACCAACACGCTTTGGTCTTTCCTGTGTAAATATAAGCCAAACCACATGCTACCTATAGCATGAAATCAGGAGATCTTTACATAGGATTACAACTCAATTGATAGAGGCAAGAATCGTCGCACTGTAACAAAGAAAAGGAAACCAATTGTACTACAAATATGTACTTTGAAAGAGCAAGCAATGTGGTGTAGGCTGTAGTGCAGGTTCTGTAATTTCCCTGTCTCCTTTAAATAAAGATGCAGCTTAACTCCCCATAGCAAAATATTCTCAGCTTTAGTAATAAATTCTACCTAAAGCGGCCCAAATCTTGTAGGGATAAAAAGAGTCAGACATGCTGTTTAGACATGTCTATCAACAAGCAAAATAAAATCTAGGACAAATACAACACTGAAGTCTACTTAAGCAGCATATTTTATATGTAAGCCATATTTAGAAACTAAAAGGAAAAAAAAGGAAGAGGATATTTAAGCATAACCACATTGCTTTAAGTATTTACATAACGAAAATGAAAACGTGGAGAATTACACCCATAGCAGACCGCTTTTACTGTTTAGATATTCATGTCAGAATATAGGTTATATTTGTTTGTACTTGTAACTGTGAGAATAGGTAAGCAATCATCAACTTGTCAAATAACAGATAAAGGCAGCACTGCAGTCCAAAGTAGGTCATCCTCCACCTTATTCAGCTGGCTTTCAGACTGTTTCATCATCACTCATGTCCCAGATCTGCAACAAAAAAGGGAGCGTAATTTCACTTTGGAGTTTAAATATGTTTTCAATATACCTTTATGAAACCAGTGTTGCTATTTAAAAGGAAGAACATAATTTATAGACTGTTGGCTAGGACCAATGGAGTTTAACATTCAAATTAATTCAGTGTTTTTTCCTAGTCAGGTAACAATCAGCACACCAATCGCTATTTGGAATCTTTCTGGGTTATTTTAATGTATACATTTCGGCATTTGTTCCTGAAATGTCAATTTGTCTATTTGCTATTCATTATTATTTACAGTTTGCAGTAGAGCAAGTAGCTATTTTGTTTTGGTTTGCTGACTCATTGGCACACATACTTAATCTGGAAAATAACTTATAACAAATAGTACACTTCTGAAACTGCTGAAAATTTTCAGGACATCCACGAAGAACTAACGGTTCTCCAATATTTGATTTTGCACCCAGTTAAACATTAAAATCTCATAACCAGCAGCATAAAGGCGAAAAGTTACATGTAAATTTGTTCTTTCTTGTTCTTTAATACTTTCAAAAAGTAGGTAGATTATTTCTGCAGTAGGATACAATTTTACTTTGCTAAGTACTCATGTTCATTAGGTGTTCCTAGATTGGGGGGAAAAAGTGATTTTCACAGAGCGCCAAGGAATCCTAAGATCCTGATCATACTACGATGAATGTTACAAGTTCACACCTATTACCTGGGAAGAAAATACACAGTGTTTTTAAAAAAAAAAAAAAAAAAGGACTAGCAAGCACAACTACAAAAACCAAAATATGAACATATTCTGAACACACCCTACAAGCTCTTTTTCTTCCAGAGTAATGCAATTTAAAAAAGTTTTTTTTTTTTTAATGTCTTTTTGGAGGCTTAGTTCGTTGCTACACCAATGGCAAATACCCTCACTCCACTCGGCAGGACTTGTATTAGTTTGGGATCAGGACTAACTAACATGGCTACATAACTTTAAGCTGCATTTGGCTCAGGACTATTTGGTTCTGACCACTTGCACAGTAAGCGCATGTCTGCCAGCAAAAAGCCAACAGTATGTAAACAATTCCTGAATGTCATTTGAACCATTTTTAAAACATTCAGGGTTCAACACAATAAAAACTGTATAATTAACAGAAAAATTTACAATGGAGAATATAGAGATAATCAGGGTACATCAAGTCTTAGTAATATTTTAAAATTTTTTACATGAGATAAGCTAATTCTGTTTGTTTCTCCCCAATAAAAAGATACAAAGACCTGTGAAGGCATTTTGCTACATGAGAACAGAAAATGACTTCCAAATACTTCCTTCCCAAATCTTGCTCCTTAAATTTGCATTATATGCCACATTTCCGGGACTGAAAGGAGCGCAGATACTTTTTCCCTTCTCTTTTTCCAATTTATAGACAAGACAAATTTGCTGTACTTGACAGCATTACATTTATCAATTAAAATGATTAACAAGACATAGCAAGGTGGTCTACCACTTTACGTTACCATACTATTCGATTTTACAATCACACCTAAAACTCATCTCTGACTTAGAGCATTTCAAACTTGCCTAGACTAGCAGCATCACTGGTGGAGTACCATGACCTTTCTGACTGCAAGAACAGGAACGCCATGCCCATGGCACACACTGCTCTAGAGGGTGGGCCCCTTGCTGTAGATGACCTAACAAAAAGGAGCATTATCAGTCTTGTTGTCCTTGTGGAAAACCAAATACAATTTATCTGTCCCAGAACCGTACTCTGTGTGTTAGCATCAAGCGGCCCACTAAGTCATTCTCTCATTTCACATCCTGACCACTAAGAAAACATCTATCAAAAGAAATACAGAATACCAGCACAATATTTTTAAGACGGTAAATTCTTCGGGGCACAAAGTTGTACTTTACATGTGTACGCTGTCTAGTGTTCCTGGTTGGTCTGCAAGCTCTACGGTTAGACAAATAATAATCACAAACAATAACATCTCTATACAGACAACAAGGAATATTTACCTATAACTTCAATAAATTCTTTGATAACAAAGTTTTCATTTCTGGAATTTGGAAACATTCTGAAAAAAAGTGACTGACTTTCTGACTCCAGAAAACTATTACTCACATGAAATCAAAATATTCTTATGCAGCACTACAAGCAACAGAAAATGAAAAGTCTGAACGGCAACATTTTCTCAATTCCTAGAAGCGTTGCAAATGGTGGTGTACCTCCTTATGGAAAATAAGGAAGGAACAGCTTGTTTACAAAAGGAAAAAAAAGTTTTCATCCTGTCTAGATGAGCAGCTCGGAGCTTGCCAAGCCAAACAGAAATGTCCAGTTAACCAGTCAGGGTCAAGGATGTGGAAAATAAATACAAAAAACAAAACCTTTAAATAGAGTTTACGGTATGATTCAAATTGGCAAAAAGCTAGAAATCCAAAGTTCAGACTGATAGTCCAACTTTGACTTGCCCACTCAATTTTTTTTTTGGGGGGGGGGGGAAGGGGGGAGAACAAAACAAAACAACCCTGAAACCCCACAGATTTTTAACTCTCTCATATCCTCCTTTCTGTCAAAGAAAGGCAACAAATACTTTTAAAGATGCACCATGCAGTGATTCAAAGGCCAAAGTGCAAGAAGCCAACCAGCAGTCCTAAAAGTCACCTTTATCTCCTGAAGAGATAAATCAGGAGCTTCGCCAGCTTTTCCCTGCTCTGGGCTTCCCTGTGTCAGTCCTGAGCTGACCAGCGGCGGTGAGAAGGCAAGCGCACTTGCTGGTTTTGTGTATGTGTTTGACAGAAAGGCTGGTCAGGGTGTCAGTTACCTTGGTAATTTTGTGATATGAAAATACTTCCACCCAGGAAATGCCTAGTAATTCCTTAATTTCTGTAAAGCAACTAAATACATACATGCGTGCATGTTTGCATTACTCCACATCCCACACAGTACAAACAGCAACCTTAACCACACTGTAATTTCTTTTTTTTGCAACTAAAGGGAAGAATGCAGCTCTCTGTATTTGGCCTTAACAGCCAAGGACAGGCAACCCCCAGTCTTCAAGTTATTTGAGGCCCTCTCCATCTTAATACTAGTAAGAATTTATTTATTTTTTAATATTGGCTTGAATTTTATCTAGCTTTACATGGCAATAATAGGAAGTGTGTGATAACTACTACTCCTGACTTGTGAAATATACCTTCTTATCTGAGTAACCTCTGCTAATCAAAGAATCACAGAACGGTTGAGGTAGTCAGGGACCTCTGGAAGTCATCTAGCCCAACCCCCCTGCTCCAGCAGGGTCTCCTAGAGCAGATTGCCCAGGACCATGTCCAGTTGAGTTTTGACCATCTCCAAGGAAGGAGACTCAACAACCTCTCTGGGCAATCTCATGGGATTAAGACCCTAGACATATAGTACTGTTAACAATAGGATGCAAGTGAAGAGAAGAGAAAATAATTATATTTAAATTAAATATTTTCCTGTCTAAACTATGGCTCTTTTCTAGGAATCCTTTAACAAAAATATTTGCAAAAAGATTGAAGTTCACAGGTATTTAAACACTATGCAAACACCTTGGATTGAGGATTTCTTTTTAACATTTGAAAATTACGCTATCATCTTATTTCCAGAAGAATAGATTTTTCTCCACTGCAGTGACAGGGCAACTAAGGCAAGAGTATAAGGTGGCTTTATGTGCATAACTATCCTTCAAATAGCATAAACGATGTCAGAGACATGCTTCCCAAGTAGTCACAACCAGAGCTCTGAATGTTGAAGCTTACTAAGGACTTATTAAGAACAAAGCTCTACCTTGCTAAATGACACGCACAGAAGAGAGAGAAGAACATGAAACAATCGCACCTTAGCTTAAAGAAAACAAGCTACACATAGTGAGGATAAGAAGATGCAACGTGTTAAATGCCAATACTGATAACTACATTATAATACATCACAGGCTCTCAGTTAATAGCAATAAACCTTACCATGAAAAGACATTTAAACTATATAGTCTATAACTATGCAAACTGTAGATATTACTATAAAAGAGTAAAATTTTTAAGAGCAGAAATCATGAAATACAGAAAGCCATAAAAAACTATGTCTAAAATGACTGCTCGTTTTGCCAAGCATTGGATGTCCACTTTAAGCTGTGAATTCAGATTTTGTTTTCAGTTCTCTTCTGTTTTATAGTACACCTGGGTGAGTCAATCTAAATGCAGCTACAGGTAATGACAGAGGAGGCCATAAAATAGGAAGATAATAAACCAGCTGCCAAAACTAACAGAGTTTGTACAAATCTAGACAGACTACCTAAATGCACATGTTTCTTCAAGTATTTCCTTTTTTATTCAAACTTCTGTGTAGCAGTTTATCTTAAATTTCAGGTACAAATCATGTCTATTCAGGACAACAGAAGAATTTCTGCACTTGTTTTCTTGAAATGGCAAGTGTTATTTTCTTACATAATAGGGAGAATGGGAAAAAAACCCTGTGTATTACACTTAACCGCTCACAAGTTTGCAGTCACTGCTTTTACACAGTTCCAAATTGCATGTTTAATAAAACCTACTGAATAGTGAGTTTTTCCACTTCCTTCCTACAACAGTAATACCTGGCACCTGAAATTTAACTTCCATTACAATGGTTCCAAAATTAAAGTTTACATACTGTAGTGGCTTTACGTCTTAGGATTAATGTATGCAATTCAAATAGATAGCTACTGTTTATCTTACAAATAAACTTGCAAAAAGATAAATGTATCCTTAGAGGATTTTAAAAAGTTTCCTGCTAGCATGGATCTAGCAGCAATCACCACAAAAATGGTTACCCCATCGAAAAAGGAAAAAAACAGAACAAAACCCTGACCCTCACTATTTTCCACACATAACTGAGATAAATTTACATATATATGTACCAAAACACTCTCCGTAGAAAAACAGCTATATCGTGCAGACTACAGTATTTCCTATATTTTAAATGCTCAACTACGGTAAAGAGTAAAATTCTACAGGCAGACG